CCCAGCTGCCCCTTAACAAGTATTTATTAAGTATTTGCTCTGTGTCATATAGGCAGCTAGATGGCACAATGGATAGTGTGCTGGGCCTGAGGCAGGAAGACATGAATTCAAATCTGGCCACAGCCACTTACTAGCTGTGTGATACTGGGCAAGTCTCTTAACTCTGTTTGCCTCAGTTTCCTCACCCATAAAATGAGATCGAGAAGGAAATGGCAAACCACTCTAGTATCTCTGTCAAGAAAATCCCAAATGGGGTCATGAAGAGTTGGACATGACTGAACAATAGCAACAACAATGTGCCATGTACTGTGTCAGGTGCTGGAGATATAAAAACAATGAATGAAATAATGCCTATTTTCAAGGAATTTAAATTCTGATGGATCTCTTTTTTATCAGAAACAGGGAAAAGGGAGAATGAGAAATTATGTCAAGGGGTCTTCAGATGAAGAGAATGAAAGAAGAGGTAGCTTAAATTGAATGGCCTCATTTTTTAAGGTCCTTTGCTGAGACAAATGAGGTAGAATAATTTGTGGGGGGCTTAAGGAGAGGAGAAAAGGTTTGGAATAACTTTGTGGGGAATGAGATAATCAATCAATGATGGTCATCTGAGTAGAGATGATAGTTAAACCCATGGGAGCTGATGAGGTTACAAAGAGAATTTAGAGAAAAATGAGAAGTCCCAGGATAAGATTTTGGGGTATATCCATACTCAGGGTATATCATGTGAATAATGATCCAGTAAAGGATATTGAGTAGTTGTCAGACAGGTAGAAAGAGAACCAAGTGAGAGCAACGTCATGAAAACCCAGAGAGGAAAGAATTTCAAGGAGATGGTGGTCAACAGCATCAAATGATGTAAGAGAGATCAAGAAGAAGAATAATTGAGAAAAAAACTATCAAATTTAGCAGTTATGAGATCATTAGTAACTTTGGAGAGAGTGGTTTCATTTGATCAATGACATTGGAGGACAGATTACAGAGGATTTAGAAGAGAATGAAAGAAGAAGATGGGTCAATGACAGTGGAAAGTTTTTCCAAGAAGTTTGGATGAGAAAGGGAGGATGGAAATAGGATAAAACCTTTCAGGTTGGGTCTAGTGAGGATTTTTTTAAAGGATAACACACTGGAATTTTCACTAGCTGTTCCCCATGCTTGGAATTTTCTTTCTTTTCATTTCTACTTCCTGGATTCCCTGACTTTATTCAAGTCTCAACTAAAATAGTAAAAAAAAAAATTGCTAGAAGCCTTTGTTGCTGCCCTTTAATGCTAGTGCCTTCTTTCTTTATTTTCAATTTATCTTGCGTATATCTTGTTTGCACATAGCAGTTTGTATAATGTCTCCCCATTAGATTGTAAGCTCCTTGAGGGCAGGGACTGTTTTTTACTTTCTTTGTAACCCCGGTAGTTATTACATATCAAGTGAGTAATAAATGCTTGTTGACTTTACGTGATTTGTGCTGGCAATCTGCAGGAGAAAACAGGTAGGGATGAGATCAAAGCTCCCCATAGAGAGGTTAGCTGTGCACAAGACATTACTCCATCTCTAACACTCTATGATTCTAGCCAGACTGGCCTTCCCCATGCTGTCTCTCATGCCTAGAATACACTCCCTCTTCACTTCCACTTCATAGAATTCCTTTCTTCCTTCAAGATTCAGCTTAAGCACCACCTTCTTCTACATGAAGCCTTTCCTAATCCCCTCCACTGCTTGTTTTATCTCCTTTAAGTTATCATATAGTTATCTACTTTCTACTTATTTGTATTTATTCTCCTTATATTCATTCTGTATATATGATAAATGTCCTTGTTGTCATTTCCCTCTCCTAAACTGGAATTTAGAATTGCAAGTAGAGATTGTTTCATCCATTGAATTTCTATCTCCAGAGCCTGACATGTATTCTGGAACGTAGTAGAGCTTCATAAATACTTGTTGATAGATTAATTACCAAAGCCTTTTCTGACTTCCTCCTCTATGTCCCACCCTTGCTAAATAACATTTTTCCCTCCTTCTAACTTTCCTAGAGTGCTTCATATGAATGTTTCTTTTGACCCCATCACGTGTATTATTATATTTATCTGTGTAACCCTTGGTTCAAAGAAGCAAATGTATAGGACTCTCCTCATTGGTAGAGATTGATTACCCAATGCCCTATACCAACAGGAGGGGCAGGGCAGAGTTGGTGGAGAGTGGAAGAGAAGAGAGATCTGGTGACTTCATTTATATACAGGGTTCTGCCCTAGTAGTCTCCCACTCGGAGGCTGGATTAAGAAGTAGGTTCAACTGACCCTCCTCCACCAGGCTCTCATGAAGCAACTCAAAGCAGTCCCCAAGCTTTAAAGTCAAAAGAAAGACTTAGTTTAGATCCACTGAACTCTGGGTGAGAAGCTAATGAGGGAACTTTGTCATATCCCATTGAAAGTCCCTAAGGTATCTAGTTCAGCAGTCAATTAGGAAGTCTCCTCATCATCATACAGTGTAAAGGCCCCTTTAGTCACATATATATAATTGGAAATAGGCTCCACAAAGCTTCTAGGTTGTGAACTGGAGCCAAACAGGGAATATCTGCATAGGCACCAAGGAATGACCCAATAGGCCAGTTATATAGGCACATTGGTGTGCTGGTAAATGTTTAACAATCAGTTTTGGGAAAGGTGGGAAGAATGTCCTCATAATACACTCTAAGTTTAATCTGCATTATTAACATTTTCCCATTGCTTTTTAAAGTCTAGAATCAGAGTATCCAAAAGTGGTGATATTGCCCCCTGGGGGGCACTGGAATGATGGGGGCAGAGCACATAGCACCCTCCAGTGCAATTGGGGGATGTTGAATAAGGGGGGCGGTGGAAGCATAAGGAAAGAAGAGAATATTTTGAAAAACCATTTGTACATGTTTCATCTGTTGTGTAACAGCTAAAGTCATAGCAATTTTCCAAAGAAACACACAAAATGCAAATTATAACTGATCAGGGGTGAAATCCAAGTACAAGTTTTAACAAACACGTGTTGGCAGGCGAGCCTGTTGCACATTGTTGGAAAACCCAGCATGCATTAGCAGTGGGATGTGCGTGTAATGACTTGTTTACAATATGATACTATACAGTTACATAATATGATATTGTGTCCTCAAAATTTCAATACAGGAAAAAAACACCATTTTAAAATAAATTATTAAATTTAAGATGTGTCATTTAAAAAAATTTTTTTAAATGATGTAAATTTCAAAAAAAAAAACAAAAAAACAAAAACAAAAGCAAAAAACAAAAAACAACTGTTAAAGGGTTAAATAAAGTAGGTTTCCAGGGGGGCACTGAGTAATTTTTTTTAAAGGGGGGCAGTAGGCCAAATAAGTTTGGAAACCTCTGGTCTAGAAAATAAATAATTAATCAAGTCTTGATTTGTAGCATTTGTAGATTTTGATGGTATAAATGCTCACACCGAAAATTTAATAATTGGCTCTCAGAACTGGCTTCTGTACACCCACTAGCAAAGAATGGAAACAAAGTACGTGTTCTGGGATAACAGCTAGGTTGGCCACAAGAAGACCTCAGTTCAAATGTTACCTTAGATACTTAGTATCTGTGTGATCCTGGGCAAGTGACTTAACCTGTCTGCCTCAGTTTCTTCATCTGAAAAATGGGGATAATAATAGCAGCTACTTCCCAGGATTGTTGTGAGGATCAAATGAGATCATTTTTGCAAAGCTCTTAGCACAGTGCCTTTACTCCCTGGCCGTGTTGTGGTCCGAAAGTCACACACTATAAGCTTCTGAAATGGAGCCCGGGGTCTTGGGCCTTTCCCATGTATGGCCCATGAATGCAAGCTTTCTTCTATCTTGCTTTAGGTGAAGGAATATTGGATACACTTTGACTTTGTGAGCCTCAAATAGTCTGGAGAGAAAGCAACCAGAAATCTAGGAACTACAATCCATCCTGGAATTTGCCAGAAGCCATATGGTGCCCAGTCAATCCACGGGCCAGCCCTAGTAGCAGTGACGCAGATTCATGGGATAGTTGTGTATCTCATGATGGGTGATTACAAGAATAATTTGCCACGTGGCATTGGTACCATTGTACTTAGCCAGGAGGGTTCCCGGAAAGCGGTCTGTTGCTGAGCCCATCAGTGAAGTCCTTCTAGTGCCTACCAAAGCTTCTCCCATCGCTTGTGGAAAAGGCAGCATGGTTTAGTTACTAGTGTACAAACTTTAAGTAGCCTTGGAGTTGGGAAGTTGGGAAGACCTGAATGTGAATCATGTTTCAAACACTTACTGCCTATGTGTCCCTGAGGCAAATCACTTAACCTTTATTTCAATTTCCCAAACTGTAAAATAGGAATAATAATAGTACCTACCTCCCAGTGCAGCTGTCAAACTAAAACAAGATGTGAAGAGTTTTGCAAACTTTAAAGCAGTATGTTAACTCAATATGAGGCATAGGAGGGAGAATTTTGTGGAGAAAACTCCTGAGCATGTTGGGTGGACCTCTTATGGCTCATTTCTAAAAGGAGACAGACGAGAACCTCTCCTTATTCAACAGGCATGGATGGATGCGTTGTGCTGTGCATAGGAGAAAAATGAGAATGTTTGCAAAAATTGAGTAGAAAAAACAACGATGCCCGTATTGCGGCTTAGGGAGAGAAAGTAGTTTGGTTAAGTTTAGCCGGGCGCAAGCTAGAACTGAGATAAGCACATTTTGCGAACCCGCCGCTTTACCCCAGGCTAAGTGGTTTGGAGAAGGCAAAAATTCCTGGCCCGGAGTAGGCGTGAGAAGAGAGAAGAGAGAACTACATTTCCCAGCGATCTTTGCGGAAGCAAGCTGACAGAGGTAAAATGTCTTGTGCGGCGTGAAGGAAAGGCGTGCCTGAAAGTCACCGCGCCCTAATCTGCTTTTCCATTGGTCGGAAACCCGAAGAGCTTTGTAACCCTCGAGGTGATTGGTCGGTTTCTGTGGCGCCATGTTTCCCTCTCGTTCAACTTGGGTGTTTCCGTTGGGACGGCAGACTCAGACAAGTCGTGGTTTGTTTTGAGCGGAGCCTTCCACAGTAGCCGGAGAGTGAGGGAGACGTTGTTGGCCTGGATTCGGAAGATCCGGTGAGAGGAGCAGAGGGCTCGTCTTGGGGCCCGAATCCTGGGAGGGAGGACAGGGGTGGACCAGAGGGAGGATCGTTGGCCTCCTCCGAACCTCCAGGGACCTTAGGGAGGATCAGTTTCAGCTCCCCCATTTCACAGATGAGGAAGTCGAGGTCCAGAGAGGCGACCCGACTTGTTCCAGATCACACAGATATTAAGTTAGGATTCGAATCCAGGCCCCAGATGTCAAGGGATTGTGATGCGCCCGTCACGACACCAGACTGCGAAAAGGACAATTTGAAGGATCTAAGGAGACAACCCAGGAATGGCGAGGGACATTTGGGTGTCAGCAGGAGTTCTCGCAGGTCCCCTCCTCTCCATCCCTTCTGCTATTGTCAGTGAATCCCGATGTTTGTGAACGAATCAGACAAATAACGCAAGGACAGGACGTTGCAGACCAGGGGCCTGATTTCTAGTAGTTCCAGATTTCTTGCTCATTGCAATGTTGTGAGCGGTCTCTGAGAGCCAATCTCCGAGAATGAAAAAATGAAATAAAACTCAGGCCCTGCCCTCTAGGGGCTTGCCTTTTAGTAGAGGAGATGGAATATGTACACACAAATGAATTAAAACTCAGGCCCTGCCCTCCTGGAGCTTACCTTTTAGTAGAGGAGATAGAATAAGTACACACAAATGAATTAAAACTCAGGCCCTGCCCTCCAGGAGCTTACCTTTTAGTAGAGGAGATAGAATAAGTACACACAAATGAATTAAAACTCAGGCCCTGCCCTCCAGGAGCTTACCTTTTAGTAGAGGAGATAGAATATGTACACACATAACTATTGTACATATTGAAATACGGTAAAGTGAAAAGGAGAGGTCCACATAAAGTGCTGTTGGAGCAATTGGTCACAGAGGGTTGGTGGAGTCCTGATGTGCCTGTTGATAAAAATTTTCATCAAAACTGAAGCATTGTGATATAAATGAATAGATTCTTGTACGTAAACTTCATTAACATCTTATTGTGCCAGAATTTTACTGGCTCTGAAACAGATGAAGAGTTTTATCTATAATGAACAATTTTGATGCCACTATCAAAGCCCTTGCTACTTATTTTTCCTAGGAGAGGGAAGACAAAAAACAAAATAACCCAAAAAATCCATTGTTTAAATGTGCTCTCCATAGCACACAGTCCACTACTCAACTGTCATTAATACCCATTTTATTTCTCTCCTGCTAGAAATAGAAAGAAAAAAATTAATTAACCAGATTGTATTAAGGAGAAAAATATAATTCTCTTGATTCAGTTTCCTGATGGAAATACTTCATATTCTGAGGCCAACTTGAAAGCAAGTCAGAATTTCTTGAGAATTCAATATAGTGGTAGAATTTTGAAACAGGTGGGTATGTTGGATACAGTAATGCTGCTGGGGAAATTATTAATAATGACTGGGTAATAGAAATAGTTTTTTTTATGCTCACATACTCTGAACTTTGTTTCTTTGGCAGGTGCTGGAGAAAGCAGTATGTACCAGTATACTCCACCTTCTACCCCTATCTCCAGAAAGTAAGAAGTCTTCCAATTTTAAAAGCTTTAAGACATAAGTCACATTTACTCTAACCTTTATCCAAAATAACATCTTTCTTGTGGCAGCTAGAGGGATATATTTCTTGAACGTGGATTTGAAGGAACCTTATATATTGGGAAAGAGAGAGAGAGCTCAAAAAAGAGTTGTGGTAATTCCTAGAATGACTCTTTTAATTCCCATATTTTGGCTTCCCTAGTTTTCACTTTGACAGTATAGTTGGGGCAAGTGGGAATTGCCTATAGAAAATTGAAATTTCTGGATCTTACATTAATTATTTCAATTCCTGTTTATGTAGAATTCACAATAAAATAAACTTAATATATTGTTGCTGCTGGCTATTACCCAATACTTGGTAATACTGGGATACAAATTGTTTATAGATTTAGCTTTGTCAACCGTTTCTGTAGTATTAACTCACATTTGTATAGATTAAGTTTTACAATTAACTTTCCTCCACAACAGCCATTTGAGATGAATATTTCAAGTATCACTAGTCTTCCAGCAGTGTCAGAGCCAGGATTTAAACCCAGGCTTCCTGACTACAAATGCAGAGCTTTTTCTGATACACCACACCACCTTTTCATTGCAGAAATGGGAATTTTAATCCTGGTTTTGCTGTAAACTAGTTATATATGATTCTTACCCCCTCTTTCAGCCTCCATTCACAGCTCCTACATTTGCAAAATGTCAGCCATACTTGTAATACTAACTAGTTTTCTGGAGCTGTTATTAGGGCTATTTGGAAGTAATAACATCTTTTGAAAATATAAAATTTTATGTAAAATGATAATTCTCACATTTTAAATAATTTTAAAAGGTTTGTTCCTCTCATATATTTATTTTACTATCTTCTACCTATTCCTAAATGTTTTAGGGGATGATAACAACAAAAAATATATCTGAAACCATCACTTCCTCTTCCCCCATTTGAGTTATGATCTTCTACTTCTTTACACATAGGAGATTATGATCCTAAACTGGCAAGCTCTGGGTTTCAAATGAATCTGCCAAACTCTTAATGTCTTGACGTGCTATAAGGTGGGAAAACTTTTTAATGTTCAGATCAGAGTTTTTGGCTAAAGTCTCATATTTGTTGAAAACTTAATACTTTCCAGGCCATTGCCATTTAGAACATCTTTTTCTTAGAACTTGAAAATTCAGGTGCTAATGGTATACATTTGTTAACTGAACAGTATTTTTTAGAGAGTATATTAGTTTGTTACCTTAACCAGCATAGGTATTCAAATATATAAATAAGAACATAAGAACATTTAAGAAATAATGAAACCGCTCCAAAGAGTTGTAAATTATTATTTACATGTTTGGAGACTTATTTACTAATTGTGATCTTTTATTAATTAGAACTGTGTTCTTACAGTCATATTTTTGTATTCTTTTTTACTTTTTCAGTGTATTTAACATGGATTTCTTGCTGTTATTGTTGTAATCAATTGTATAGTTGTAGAAAGCATATATGATCTTTTGGTTTTGCTTTCTTTGTTCTACATTCTTTCATGTCATATTTAAATTCTTCATAATTTTCATTTCTTATAGTACAATAATATTACAGTAAGTTTTTGTGTCCATATCTGTTTTATGGAAGATACTATACTAGGCCCTGGGAATAAATACAAAAACAAAAGTGAAAAAATCCCTGTATTTCAATGTCAGCTAAGGGAGGGGAGAGACTGCAGGAAGAGGAAAGGGAGGTGGTCAACATTGTAAAAGGCTGCTGAGAGGTCAAGTTAAATAAGAAATTAGAAAAGGGTGTTGAATTTAGCAGATAAGAGATCATTGGTAACCTTGGAAGGAACAATTTCCATTGGGTGTTAGAGTGGGAATCCAGGATGTAAGAGTTTGACAAAAGAGTGGGAGGTGAGGAAATGGAGGCATGTAAATGAACTTTTTAAACAGATTTTTTTGGATTTTTTGCTTTAATAGCACTTAAATTTCCACTTTTATTCCTCATCCTCTTCCCTACCACAGGAATATTCTAACAAAATTTGTTTTAAAGAAAAAAGAAGTGAAAAAACTATCAACATTTTGAGAAAATCTGAAAAAAAATATGCTGTGTTCCATACCTGTGGGTCTCCCACTACAGCAAAGGAGTTGGGGAAGGAGGAGCTACTCGTATTTCTTCTTTGGGCCCATTCTTGTTCTTTGTAATTTTGCAACATTCACTTTTAGCTGTTTTGTGGTTTTCATTCTTTCCATTTACATTATTGTAGTCATTCTGTATACTACTTACTTGGTTCTGCTTACCTCATTCTCCATCAGTTTGTATAAGTCTTTCCATTGATCATATTTGTTGTTTCTTGCAGCACAACAATATTCCATTGCATCCACATATCACACTTTGTTTAGCCATTCCTCAGTTGATGGGCAATAGATGATCTTTTCTAGGGGCTTGGCTAAGCAAGGAAAGGGCAGGTAGGTGGCACAGTGAATAAAGTCAGGAAAACCTGAGTTCAAAAGTAGTCTCAGATAATTACTAGCTGTGTGACCCTGGGCAAGTCACTTAACCTTGTTGGCCCCAGTTTTCTCATCTGCAAAATGAGCTGGAGAAAGAAATGGCAAACCACTGCAGTCTCTTTGCCAAGAAAACCCCAAATGGAGTCATAAAGAGTTGGACATGACTGAAAAGACTGAACAACAGCAAGTGCAAGGAAACAGAGATGAAGAATGATAGCTCGAGGGTAGGACTTTCAAGTAAAAGTTATTTATTGCTGAGGGAGACCTGAGCATGTCTATAGGCAGCAGGGCTGGAGTCAGTGGATTTCATTTTGTTTAATGCCTACCACGTGCCAGACACTGTACTTGATTGAAAACAAAATAAAGAAAATGCTCAAGGAGAAAAGAGAAGAGGGTCAAGAGTACAAGGGGAGGCATTGACCTTGGCAAGGAAAAGAACTGCTTCGTCAGAGGCTGAAGCAAAGAAGGAAAGAATAGCGGATCATGAAGAGGGCTTTTGAGGTGTGAATTAGGGAAAAAGAAGGAGTCTGTGATAGGTGTCCTCTATAACTTTTTTTTTAATGATATCAATATTTTACTTCCAACTCCTTAAAATATTACTTTAGATTCATAGCCAACACAAATAATCTAAAAAAAAACCCGCCTGTTTTAAAAGAAAAGTTTTAAATGTGTTTAAAAAAATGACTAATTAAAAGGGATATCTCAGGTGGAGTTATGGGATTCAGAATTTAAATATTATTCAACACAAGATTTGTTTGGACTAGTTAATCATACTACCTAGTGTAGTGTAATCGAATCTCTATAACTTTCAAAATAAATATTAGAATCTAAGTATACCAAATTCTAAGAATTCTGTAAATATTAACAGGCTTCAATTTTCACTTCTGTGGTGGTTTCATTTAGGTTACCAACCTCCCAGAGCCCTTCTAAACACTGTGGTGCTTCTGGGACAAGATCTAGAAATTCAGAGGAGTCAACTCCACTGCCCTCCATTACTGAGTGCCTAAACTTCGTCTGCCCAACCAAAGAACTGTTGGAATATTACCAAAAAAAGATACTTGAGTTTGATGAACAAAATGAAGAACTATTGAGAAAACTGGAAAAATATGCCCACCTATGCAAGGACTGGGTAAGAAAAAGCAATGTAGTCCTCATTCTAGTTTTTCTCACTAAATTTGTTTTTTAAATTATAATTAGAATGTGGATGCCTGTAGGAAGTATCAACTTGTGTCCAGAGTGGGTAGCTATAAAGAATATTGTATTAAAACATCTTAGTCATACCAAATCCTGGGATATATATTTCCTGTAGGCCATACCCCTCCAAGAGGAGATGGTGTTAAAAGGTTTTATGTAAGATTCTGATGTTTAGTACATTGTTCACATAACCCTTGTGTAGAGCAAATTTAATTTAAATGTTCCCTCACATATCTTGTACCAGCTGGTACAAATAATTCAAGTCCATATTCCTATTAGAATGTTCTATTGATAACAGCTACATCTCAAAACACTCTTTCGGAAACTGACTTTCAGTACTCTGTGACATGGTAGCTAATTGACTTACTGTAGTCTCCTAAATCATTCCCACAACACTTAAATAATATGCAGCTTTTTATACTCTGGAATTGTATTGAATGTTACTATATGAACTGAATAAGGTTATATTTAGGAAATATCCTCTCTGAGGCTCTGGATCATTTCACCTGCCTTTTTTTTTTTTTTTAAATAGCACAAACTGGAGTTGGAAATCCAGCAGAGGGAGAAAGAGATTGCTGAGTTACAGAAAGCCCTAAGTGACATGCAGATCTACCTCTTCCAGGAGCGCGAGCATGTGTTACGCCTCTACTCAGAAAATGACCGATTAAAAATCAAGTACTGAGCAGAAAAAGGGGCTCATGATACCCTAGAATTCAAAATTAGAAGGGACCCCAGAAATCATCTAGTTCAACCCCCTCTTTTTATAGATGAGAAAACTGAGGACTGAGGTCCAGGAAGTTTAAATGAATTGCCCAAGGTTACACAAGTAGGGATTGGAACCCAGAATCTCTTGTTTCTTAATCTAATGGACTTTTCACTCTGCTGGGAGCTGACAGTGAGGGAGATTTCAAATATACACTGGACAAAAACATTTTTGTGGGGGGCAGTTAGGGTTAAGTGACTTGCCCAGGGTCACACAGCTAGTAAGTATCAAGTGTTTGGTCTGAGGCCAGATTTGAACTTAGGTCCTTCTGATTTCAGGGCTGGTGCTCTATCCACTGCGCCACCTAGCTGCCCCAACAATTTTTTTTTTTCATTCTTTCTAGTCTATTGCATTGCTTTTACTGATTTAAGAGGAAAAAAAAGTCTATGTACCAATTCCTTTTCCTTTCCAGTGACAGCTGAGGAAACATTTCTAAGTTTTTCCCTTGTAACCTCATGCTGTTATCTGAACTTTTATGAGATTAGAGGTTAAGCCTTGTTAGTGGCCTGATGAATATAATATGAAAATGAATGGAGAACTGCCTGATTGCTATTCCTTTAACCGCTAAAATATATATATTGCTTTTTATTTTAATTAAAGAGTCCTTTTTAGTTGTAGTATGCCGTAAATTGTTTTTTTTGTTGTTTTTTGATTTTTTTAGTGAGGCAATCAGGGTTAAGTGACTTGCCCAAGGTCTCACAGCTAGTACGTGTCAAGTGTTTGGTCTGAGGCCAGATTTGAACTCAGGTCCTCCTGACTTCAGGGCCGGTGCTCTATCTACTGCGCCACCTAGCTGCCCCCATAAGTTGTTTTTAAGAACATTGTGGATCAGTACAGCAGCTTAGCAAATAGATTAGAAATCTTTTGTCTAGGCATTTTCACAGTTCATAGTGTCACAGAAATAAGGAACCTAATAGTCTTTAGATAAAGCCTACAAAAACTGCCAGAGATATCTTTACATGAGGAGCAAAAGTGATATAAGAAAAGAGTACTTGTGTGACCATTTGGGAATGAGCTCTAAGAGCCATAATACTAGAGCTCTGACCTATTTCCATTTTCATAAAAATGTTCATTTTGCTGAAAGGGGCTCTATTTCTTTTTTTTTTTTAATTCTTTGAAATACAGGAGTTGGGGCAGCTAGGTGGTTCAGTGGATAGAGCACCAGCCCTGGAGTCAGGAGTACCTGAGTTCAAATCTGGCCTCAGACACTTACTAGCTGTGTGACCCTGAGCAAGTCACTTAATTACAATTGCCTCCACCACTACCCCCCCCCCCCCCCCCAAAAAAGAAATACAGGAATATAGTATTACTGTTTATAGTAGATCGTTAAATTTGGAATCAGGAGACCTAGGTTCATAACTGAACTCTAACGCTTTCTAGCATTGTGGCTGGGCAAGTCAACTTTTCTGATCCTCAGTTTTCTAATTATAAAGATGAAGATGATAATTCTTGCACAACCTTCTTCATTAGTTAATTGTGGTGAAGAAATTTCTTTGTGAATTTTAATGCAAAATATAAACATGAGCAGTTATTATTTCTCACAATCCTGTAGAAACAGGCTGGCTTTGTTTCTTTCTGCAAGAGAGAATGCCCATCAAATGGAAAAGGGTATATGTTGTAGGAACAATTATTGATAATATTCTCTGGTGATTATAGGGAGCTAGAAGACAGAAAAAAAATTCAACATCTCTTGACCTTAGTGGGAACTTCTAGTGAAGTAACTTATTTTCACAAGGAGCCTCTACACAAAGTAAGTGATTATTGGGACAGCCTGGTCCATAAGATTTTTTTTTTTTAGTGAGGTATGGAAACTCAAGTTTATAGTAACAACTTGGAGCAATCAAAGCAATTGTGACCAAAATCTGTCATGGGTAGAACTGGATGGAGAATCCAGTACAAATACCCTTAATCCTCATTTTTATAATAGCTGTGTTTTAATATAATTCATTTGACAAATATTTATTGAACAACTACTTTGTGTGAGGCACTATGCAAATTGTTTTCTCAAGTATAGAGGATAAAATAGTCTTTATCTTAATGGGTTTTATAGTCCATTAAACTAGGAGCTATTAACACACACACACATAAAATACAACATAGAATATGAAAGTATAATAAGAGTTAGGGTAGATCATAAGAAGGAAAGATTACTCTCAACTAAGGGGATCAGGGAAAATTTCATGGCAGAGGTGGCATTTGAATTGGGCCTTGAATGAAGGGTAAAAATTGGATAGTCTGGGCTGTAAGGAAAAGAGCATTCCAAATATAATAATGTATATGTTCAAGAACATGGATATAATGTCTTGAGTTTTTTTTTTTTTAAACTTAAGTTTTTTACAGATTTCTTTATGTTTATAGACATTATTTCTTCCTTTGGGACTCTCTACTTGGCCAATGTTAAGAGTAAAATTCCTTTGTTATTTGGATAGGGAATTTGGAAAGGAGACTTTATTTCTGCTGCTAAGTTTTTGTTTATGGCACATTAGTTTATGTATCAGATGGATTTTAAAGTTCATTAGAGTAGGAAGTCATCCTCTAGTGACATTTTGGCCATGTGGTCACTGAATGCCATGTGGAACCAGCAAGAACTCTGTCTTCTTTCAAAGATTAAGAAAGATTAAGATCCTGGCCCACAGAGAGAACAAATGACTTGCCTGAGTTCACTGTGAATCAGGTCCATACTTTGATATAAAAGGAAGGGCAGACCGCAGGCCTTAACTCCTCTGCTTTGCCCATAGAGTCTCATGCTTAATTTAGTTCCTTTTACGTTTGTGTGCAACTTGGTGAATGTGCTGTGGGGATGATGTTTGATCTTGGGGGTACAGGTTGGAAAGTGAAAAGTTTTCTTTAAAGAAAATGTCCCTTTTGATTCTTTTAGGTCACTGTTCCCCAAAAGACTGTTCATTTCAAGCAGCCATATGAACAGGAGTTCGTTTCCAGAGCAGGTACCAATGAGCAAACTTTTTTCTTTGAAATCCAAACAGTTAAATGAACATTTTTAAAAAAATACTATACAATAATATTTTTTTCATTTTTTTTTTTTTTTTGCGAGGCAATTGGGGTTAAGTGACTTGCCCAGGGTCATACAGCTAGTAAGTGTCAAGTGTCTAAGGCCAGATTTGAATTCAGGTCCTCCTGACTCCAAGACCGGTGTTCTATCTACTGTGCAACTTAGCTGCCCCTGTACAATAATACTAATAATGGTGACCTGGTGGCACTCTTAAGATTCTGAAGAGCTTTGTAAGCAATTGACGAAAGATTCAGTTTTGTTCAGTGTGGTTAGTATTGTATATTACGTTACGTTTCTTTTGAAAATTAGTAATCCAAATGTGATAGGTGTGTATGTGTATGGCAGCTCTGTTCACCAGATTGTTAATTAATGTGAATATCCTCAAGCAATCTGGATAAACAGGAATTACTAAGAAAATAGATCGAGCTCAGAAGGAGTACTCTGCAACTCAGTGCAGTGTTTGTTATTGGGTATTGTTAATCAGGAAGAGTCCTACAGAGTTCCTTACTATGCTTTTAGGGGGAAAATACTGTGTTTGCTGTAAAATTTTCTTTTCTCTTCTTTTTCTATTAGACTCTTTTCTGAGATCAGACTGAGCACCTCTGTTTTTCCCTGCTAGAATAAAATGGATAACTGACCATCTAGAAGAAAAGCCAAATAAATTATTTTCCCAACTAACCTGTTTTCTACTGCAGGTACTAAAAGAAACTTAGGAAGAGCAATAAAAGAGACACAAGAAAGTCCTGAGAAATGCCCAAGGGACAACCAGACACTTATGCTGCAGGTAGAAAATATCTGTTGGCAAACAATGACAGCTTCTGACTTCCACAAAATTAAATTCTTGTGATATTTTAGTCACCCACTTACCACATACAGTTCTCTGCTGTTTACTGTAAGATGAAATATAACAGACATAGTTTAAACATTTAAAAACTCCTGCTTCCTGACTGTATAAAGTCCTTCTTTGCGGTACTCTAAATTCTTAGCTAACATTAAGTGTGAAATTCCTTCAATATTGGGATAGGGAATATAGAAACTGAGAGGAATATCGTTCCTGCCAAATTTTTGTGCATGACACATCCACTATGTAATAGATAGGTCTTTAAATTCCTTGAAATAGTGACTCTTCTTCCAGTGATGTTTTGGCCATTTGGTAACTGAATGCTACATGGAAGCAGGATTCTTTATCTGATTACATTGGAAATCCTGGTCCTATGAAGGTAATCCAATTGTTTAAGTAATATTTTCTAGCTGTAAGTAATGACTACATTTGGACTTGACAGCAAGATCCATAGAGGGCAGTCGTGTAATTATTTGGTTATAAGGTGACTGTTCTCCTCAACCAAAAAAACTAAGGAAAGATTCTCTACGTTCCCTGCCTAGCTAGAGGGCTCTTAGCTTGTCTCAGTGCCCAAAAGGGAATACTAGAACCCCGGGATTAGGAAAAAGTCACTGGGTTTTCCCACAATACAGTCTAAATTAATTATATACAGTTGATTATTTTGTTGTGTAGTCTGGCCTCAATAAAGACAATGCAAAGAAAGGTCTGTTTAACATTTTTGCTATTTTGTGAATGTTGCTGCTGATTATAAATTTTCCTAGAAAGATATTTAGCGTCTATTCCTGTGAGAAGGTGTGAAGGGGAGTAGAGCTGAGTATTTGACCTCTTGTTGATTTGCTTAGGTGGAAGCCCTGCAAGCTCAGCTCGAAGAGCAGACCAGGCTTGCCAGAGACCAGGTTGAAGGGCTTTTAGAAGACCGACGCATCTATATGGAAGAAGCGCAGGTTCAGCATGAGAGAAACCAGGAGAGGATCAAAGTGCTGGCAAATAAGTGAGTGCCTAGGAAAGGCTCTACTTTTGTCTTATTTTCCCTGAATGGTTTAAAAGTGAACAATTTTATAATTTGTGCTGCCATTTTTGTTATGATGATGATTATTGTTACTTTGGTGTAATAAAGAATCACAGAACTAGGAGTTTCAGAAGGTCATCTTAGCATCATAGATTTAGAGTTGAAAGAGATTTTCAGTATAAACTAGTCCAAGCTCCTGTGAAGGTAGAGAAAATCATGCAGCTCTTCTAATTGACTCTGTTACAGAAATATGTTATACAACCTCAACGGGCCCTCACTGCTGCTAGGTAATCCTTCTATACCTCCTTTATCAGCTCATTATTCTACTTTCCTCAGCAGCAATTCCAAACCTGTGCATCATTCCTCAAACCTTCCATGGTTCCCCCTTTCCCATTCCTCTGGCATAGAACCTTGCCTCAAATTTTATAGAAAAAGCTTCCTCTTCTCCTCTCTTCCTCATTTCATATATGCCTTCTGCCACTCTCCTCCATCTCTGCTTTATGATTCCTTACCAAGGGTTACCCCTCTGCCTACTCAAGGGATCCCACTCCGTTTCCACCTTACCACTTGTTTTCAATCTCTGTCTACTGGCTCATTCCCTACTGCCTACAAATGTGCTCATGTCTCCCCAATCCTGAATAAAACCCTTACTTAATCCTTCCCATATTCTTCCCTCTCCTGCCCCCCAGTCAACTCCAGGGGCTTCCTGTTGCCTCCAGGATCAAATACTAAATGTTCATCTGACATTCATAGTCCTTTAAAACCCAGGGTTCTACTACATTTCCAGTCTTCTTATACTTTAGTCCCATGTACATACTGTTCGATCCAGTGACACTGGCCTCCTGGCTGTTCTATGAACAAGACACTCCGTGTCTTGATTCTGAACGTTTTCTCTGACTCTCCTCCATGCCTAGAATGCTCCCTCTCCTTAACTCCTCCTTAGGATAGGGGTCATTCTCAAATAAAGCGAACCATTTTGTTCAGATCAACCTCTCCCAGGATCACTGTGTTATGTTGCCTTTGCCAATGGCACTACTTTTAAAGTAGTTATATTCAGCTTGTAGTGCTTGGGGAAGGGGGAGGTGCATAATGAAATCGATGCCAGGCTTGTAAAGCAAGTATTTTATAAATATGATTTACTGGTTTTACAAGAAAAAAAACAGAACAGCTTATCCCCAAGTTCTCATACAGTCTATCACTCTTTGTCACAATGATTCCTGCTAACTATATTGTAAAAGTAGATTTCTGTTTTCCCATAGGAACAGTGTCACAATTGATTGTTTGTATTTGTGACCAAAGATTTGGCTTGAGATGCGTCATGTATATAATAATTATAAATAATAGTAGCTTAGAGTTCTACGTAACAGAACAGTAATACTTATAACTAGCAAAAAGCTTTTCAGTTTTACAAAACTTCATATATATCATCTCATTTAATTTTAATAACAACTCTGTGAATCAGTACAAGCAGTATTATAGATAATGCCATGAAAGCAAAGGTACAATAACCATAAATCTCTTGTCCTATTAATAAGAGGGAAAAGTGCTAATTACTATCCTCTTTTTAATATATTCCAGACCTATACTGGTTTGTTTCTACCAATAGTACTGTCTTGTAAAGAAGTTGTATTCAACTTGTGGTCAGCTATTGTCCTCAGATTTTTTTTCTTTTTTATATGTACTTTTTTCCATTCCAATCCTGTATTTGTATTTTGGCATTTTTCCTTAACCTTTTGCTTTTTCTTATTCAATTTTCTTATTCAGTTTTTAATATTACCTTTTTTTCTGAATTTAAACATTTCTCAAAAGGCCTTTCTATGCACACAGCAAAATACAAAAAGAATTGTCTATTTGAAATGGAATATTTCGTTTTGCTTGCTTTTTTAAAAAGTATATTATAATTCACTCCTTGTCTGTACTTCCTTTTGAACTTCCTTCTGTTGTCTACATCTTAAGAAATATTTCAGTGGCCCTTTCCTTTTTGGCATCACTATTGCTAACTCTTCCTTTCCCTTAAAAAATTCCTCCCTACCCATTAAAAACCTAAAGAAGGGGGCAGGGAAGAAACTTTGTAAAAATAAGCATAGTCAAACAAAACAAATCTGAATAAAATGGCCGTGTCCAAAAAAGTATGCCTTTGCACCTTGAATCCATTACCTCTTTATCAGGAGAGGTAAATAATAGGTTTCCTTTGGAAACTTGATTGGCAATTGCTTTGATCAGTGCTTAAGTCTTATAGAAAATGTTTTTCTTTACAAAGTTGTTGTCCTTGTATAAATATTCTGGTTCTAATCACTTCACTCTGTATCAATTCACATTACCTAGAATTCTCTAAAACTATTTTGTCATTTCATACAGTTCAATAATATTCTATTATATTTATATACCACAGTGTGTTTATTCGCTGATTCATAAAGACCCCAGTACAATTCTAGTTCTTTGCTTTTCTTCCTGCTGACCTTTGAATCCCTTCTTCAGGATCAGGAAGTTTGTTTTGCTTGTGACTATTCCCTACTAGATATTATCCTCCCTTTTAACTACCCCTCTCCCTTCCCTGCTTGTTTACTTGTTGAGTTTGATACTGTATTGTTTGTGTATTCAATCCTCTTTCATTTGTTTTGGATAAGAGTGAGCTTCATCTGAAGTGCTGCCCCCTATACTTCTTCCATTCTCTTCCCTCCCACCTCAGTAATGATACTTAGCAAGGTCTATCCCCGTCTTCCAATTTTCTATACTAGAGTATTCCTTTTACCTTCTTCAGAATGGAACTGCCAATCCACCCCTAAAGTTCTTAAGGGCCACACTCATTTCTTCTCCCACTGTTATAATGTTAGCACTACTTCATCATACAACCTTTTCCAATTGCTTAAATAAATTTTCCTTTTTAGGTTTCTCTGGATTTGTTTGCTTTTCAAAGTACCTATTCAGCTCTAGTCTTTGCATCAGCAGTGCTTGAAAATTCTCTATTCTAAAGTCCTCTATTTTGAAGGTCAATTTGTTTGCTTATACCATTATATCAGCTTTGCAGGAAAGTTATTCTTAGTTGTAACCCTGTATCTTTTTACCTTTTAAAATATTGTAGTCTAAGATTTCATTTAGTTTATCTTAGAAGCTACCAGGTCTTGTGTAACCCTTGGTTCCCAGGTATATGCAGTATCTTCCTGTGTTGATCTGGATTTAGGCTGGTACACAATTGGGCCTTTTTGTTTTGGGGTTTTCTTTTGGGAGATGATCAATGGATTCTTTCTGTCTTCACTTTGCCCTCTGATTCTAAAAGATCTGGGTAGCTTTCATTTGTGATTTCTTGAAATACAGAGTCCATTTTTTAAAATTGTAGTTTTCAATAAGTCCAGTGTTTCTTTAATCATTTCTCTTTGAGCTGTTTTCTAGAGTCATTTATTTTTGCTATTAGATTCCTTATGATCCTTTCAGTCATTTGATTCTGTTCTAATAGTACTTGCTTTCTGATGGAGTTACTGATTTCTATTTGGCCTATTCTAGTTTTCAAGGATTCCATTATTTGGTAAAGTTTACTGTTCTTCTAAACTATTTACTCTCCTTTCATCTCTTTTCTCTGGAGCTTTTATTTCTTATTTTATTCCTTCATATTTACCAGGTGGAAAACTGATTTTTTTTTCCTCGTAATTCCCTGCTCACAGTTGTTAAAGTTATATACTCCTTCTTTTTGAGGATTTCTAGATCCACAGTAATTTTTTTTTTTATATTGCCAAGTGCTTTCTTTGATTTATTCATCTGTTCAGCTTTAGTTCCTGTACTGAAACTTTGTTCCAGAGTCAAGTTCCACCTCGTCTAGCTCCTCTGAGTGGGGTAGTGGACTACGCTTGGTCTTGCTCTGGGTCTCCTGTATTACATGTGTTGACGTCCACCTCCTGGGTTGGGGTTCCCCTGGATCTTTGAGGCTCAGACCTCAGGTCATCTGTGACAGGGGTTCTTAATTTGGGATTGTGAATTTGTTTTTAAAAAATATTTTGGTAGATCCATCCCAGTGGTGAGAGTGCTCCTAGATCCTATGATGCATCACATGCTGCGTCACACAGAGCAGCAGGTTTCAGCTCTGCAGGTCTTTTCTGTTTGTTGAAATGTCCATGGTTTTATCTGCTTCAGTGGCTCATATACAGGATGGATTACTGCTTTCTGCTTCTACTGATTATGAGCAAAAGCATGGGAATGCAGGAATGCAGAAAGTATTTTAAATCACTCTCGAAAAAACTTGGTCAGCTTCCTGATAGATGTACACTGAAAACTGGATGATATAATAATAATTTTATTAGCTCTCTGGGAGTGGGTTACATGATTCTGTGTCCCGAAAATTACCCAAATGTCTTGGTTTTCTCTTTCCTGGATGAGCTTCAGAAGGAATTCATCAGTACTTACAACATGATGAAGTTGTCTACTGCCATCAGACCATACTGTGTCATTGAATTTGATAACTTCATTCAAAGGACCAAGTAGTGGTATAACAATTCCTGGCCTCTTTCAACAAAGACAAGTCTTTGTGACATGCAAACCAAAATCAAGCTGAGACCACCTTTTCGAGTTTTCATATGTGAACTGGGATCAGCCAGTGGATTCACATCTTTTATTTGCTGTGGAATGTGAAAGTGCTAGTTAGATTTCTTTTGCTCACCAGTGATTGAAGCCAGTGACTCTGCCAGGGATTGTGGTATTTATTCTTAGGCTCTTACGTGGAACTCTGAAGTTAATTCAAGGCTTTGATGCCATAGAAAGTCTATTCCAGAATAGTGGTGAGAATTTCAGTTATGTCATTGCATTTTTCCTTGGCATAGCAGCTTGTCTATACCAATGTTGTTTGTTCATCTGCTTGGTGCGGGAATGTAAAAATCTTTCTTGACTTTTGGCTTACTTTGTCTATGCAGCATGTATCTATCTGACCTCCACAACCTCTGGCAGCTTTTCTTTAATGTGACTATGGGAGTGTTTGTGACACTACAGAGCTGACT